TATCTATCTATCTATCTATCTATCTATCTATCTATCTATCTATCTATATGTGCCCAACAGGTATATGTGGCTATTGGGTAAAACAAGTTCATTTTTTTTGGGGGGGAGGGGGGTCAGAAGGTGAGGTGTTCAAATTCCCAGAATGTCCTCAGTTCTTTTTGTCTCAGCTCTCTTATACTGTCTGATAGGGTGTGTGGGACAAGCCTGTGGGAGTGACGACGTTCCAGAAAGAGTGTAGTAGCTAAGAGGGGCAGAAGGCACCCTTCCAACAGCTGCTGCCTTTGCCCATCAGCAGCATCCCCCTGGCTCGCGGTGTCTGAGCCAAATGTGTCACCGACTCATCTCACTGTTGATTCAAATGAGTGTATGCGTGACACACCACAATGCACCTGCAAACCATGACATCACCGAAGAGCCTGGACATGGAAACTATGACAACTACAAGTGGACACGTGGGGAGGGGACTTTGGGCAATGGATTTAGGGGTACTGTCCTGGGAGAACAGAACAGTAGAAGAGCTTGCGACACATCTGTAAAATCCTGACCACCTGGCTAAGGGAGTCTATGCACTTGCTACGCATGCTTCATGGACTTACCCACGCTTCATGGACTTCCCATTTCTCTCGGATGCAATACAGGCACACTTAGACTATTTGAAATTCTTAGTTTTTTTTAAACTGTGTTTTCAAGTGCATAACTTGTTCTTTTCACTTGGAAATAGAATTCTAGCTGCAGGAGCTGGCAGCCTGAAAAGAATCAGTTTGAAAAGAGGATAGGAACATGGTCTCCCCTTTCCTTGAGCACCCCATAGTCCTTCCACTTAACTCCACCCCCTGGAAAAACACCCCACAAGTGCTACATGCTGCTTGTGTGCCTCTGAAAATGTGAAGACATTCCGTCTTTTCCATTTAGGGCAGCGCAGACCACGGTGATGAGGTCGCATCTCCCGAACACATTAGACTTTAAAATCGCTTCTTCCTGAAGGAATTACAGGAAAAGAGGGCTGTCCGCATGCTATCATTTCCATCAAAAGACAACAGAGGCCTAGAAACCTCACTTCCACAGGA